GCTGCTGCAAACCTGGAAAGAGAGAGAATATTACAAACAAAAGGAAGACCTGCAGTAAGCAACCATCGCACGGCACAAAGCCCACAGACCACCCTGCCCGCTCACCCTCCGTAACCAGCCTTTCGTCCAAGGAAGAGGAACAGGAGCAGCCCCAGAGCCATGACCAGCAGCCTGCTGCTTGCTGCCTGACCGCCCGCAACGTGCATCCACGGACGGCCGCGTCCCCCCGCCCAGGTTCTCCGCAAGCCGTCTCCTCACCCTCACTTAGGCGTTCCTTTTCCTGCACAAGCTCCTTCGCGAGCCCATCGCACCGCAGCGGGAGTCAAAGGAAAACGGGCGCTTCTCCTTCTACAGCGCTCGCTGCATATCCTTTCCCTTTGGATTCAGGTGAAGACCAACCCTGGGCGCGCTGGGCTCTCCTGCACTCTGAGCGTGTCGTCAGCAGCGACAGTCACATGAGCCCTCCACCTCCTGCAAGGGGCAGGAGCAGAGCGGCACGGGGAAGCAAGGGCAAAGGGAGCCGGCTGCCTCACCGAGCGCAGCTCCTGACCTGCAGTGCCAGGGCCTCAGCCCGAGGCCGGCACAGCTCCTCAGGCAGCGCTCAGGACGTTTTCCGGCAGAGCGCGCTCCCCAGCACTGAAACGCGCCCGGTAGCCGCGCCGCAGACGCGGCACGCAGATGGCTGAAGCTGACTGCGCAGGGGCTTTAAGATGGTGAATAACTCGTTTCTAATGCTACGTGCTTTCAGAAGCACTGGAAGTTAAGCGGGTTTAAAGGTGTATAATGAGAACTTCGGGGTCTCCTTCACACATTTAACAATGGAAATTCCTGACAGCAGTGAGTCAGCCATCGACTGACTACAAAAGCCTTTCTTTTCCCACTAAGGTGACATCTCACTTGCTAACTGGCTAGTGGCAATGCTTTTTGCTTACTGCCTCCCAGTAGGCAGGCAATGAATTTATCTGTTGCCCTCAAGTAATATGCCAGTGTGCTTTCCACAACCCCCCCAGGGCCTCATTAGCACCCTTTATCTTGCCACTCTATGCACATAAGAGCTCAAAGGGGCTACTGATTAAGTTCTTCTGGTTCCAGCTTACCAGTGGTAGCTTGCCATTTGTACCTGTTCTCACAAGTTTGAAACTTTACACCTTTGCAAAGGTTGACTGGTCCTGTCCTTGTGCTGGCTGGCAGCTCAGCAGGGCATTCTGCTGCTCTGGCAACCTACCTGTCTGATGTGGAGGTCAAGGATGGATGCAGCTGAAGAAAGTGTGCCCAAGTGACAAAAGTGCTGCCAGCTGAGGCAACACCAGCAGTAACATGAGGACTTCCAGGTTTGAATGGCTGACAATATCACCTACACCAGATATACTCAGGGTTATGGTTTCCAACTGCTCTTCTCACATACCTGTGTACCAGCTTATCATCCTGTGACACCTTAGTTAGCATGTTGTTTGCTGCTATTCTCATTCTCAATTCTTCCCTTTAGAGCTCAAAAGAAAAAAAAGAGCCTCCTTAAATCCTACAACAAAATAAAATGTTCAAAAGGATGGCAAGTCTTTTAAGCTTTCCTTCAAAAGAAATGAGGAACACAGACCTGCTTTTGTCATACTACACTTTAAAGTACATCCAGAAGCCACTGTGATATTCAAGCATTACAACTGGTTCCTGAACGCCCAGGGGCTGCCTCCCCACTGCAATCAGCTGAGGAGGAGTCATTTAAGAAAAGCACAAAATAAGATGGCATCATTGCCAAACTTACATTCCCAACCAGAACTGCTATTCAGAAGAAATAATTTGTATCTTAAACAGTTTTGAAAAGGACTATCGAGGTAATGCAGTACAACTTACCTTGATAACAAACAACAGACGCAACATCTAAATAAGGAGACAAATTATTTGCAAAGATATCTGTTCCAGCAGAGCTTCTGTTAAGGAACCTGGCTTTGTAAATCTTCTATTTTTTTCAAAATGGAAGAGGACCACAGACACAATAATCTAACTGACAATGTATTTGGGGATCCACAAAGCTTTTCACAGAACCTTCTTTAGAGTGTCTTAAATTAAGCTCTCTAAGAATAACAGGAAAAGTTCTCTCACAGAAGAGCAACTGGCTGAAGACATATTATCTTAAAGGCTAAATTCACTGGTTTTCCGAACAGAAGGAAAGCAAGAGTGGAATCCCATTCATTTCTGTTTGCATTGGAGTATGCAACAGATCTGTAAGTCATCCAAGAAAGTAGTGGTAACCAGCACCTTTTCAGTTGGCTTTGAAGGACTACGGCTGGATTACTGTCAACAAAGCAAGGCATGGGATGGAGGGATATGAGAAGACAACTGTAAACAATGTGAAGCTCCAAGTTGGTATGTCTGACAAGAATTCAAGTGTGGATAATTCTCTGCCTCGATACTCAACAACAATCACTCAACAAGGAAATAGCTTTTTATAAATTCCATAAAATAAAAAATAAAAGGATTTGTTGCTGTACAAATGCATCTTGAATACTCTGTGTAATGGTATTAGAAGTTCACAAAGAAAGAAGAAGCAGGCAGGAGTCTGGTTTTGAACAGCTTCACTAAAAAAAGCCTCCAACCACACATCAGGTAGTAAACACAGCACACCAGAAACACAAGCCCCAGCTAGACACGTGCAGAAGATTACCACAAGACAAACATCAATTTGCACATATCCAGCTACGGTAGAGCTTGTGCCACTCTCCACCTGCACGACAGGCTGCACACCTGACACACTGCTGTCAGCAACTATGTTCTGAATTCAGTAGGGGAAATTCCATAGAGAGAACTGAAATCAATGTTTAGGGAAAACTATTTCCCCTTTTAAATTTCCCCTTTTCCTCCAGTTTCAAAACCCATAAAGAGTTATGTTTCCTGCAAACAGAAAGAGCCCATTTTGCTGAAACTGCTTCTCTCCATAACCAAGCTTACTAAAGTGATAAGGAGCAGACAAACAGCTGTTCTGCTGCCACACCGCAGTCTCTTTCAGCACTGTCCTCACCAGCTTTATTCCAGCTTGCACATTTCAGTGGGGCAGACCTCACCACTACAAGGACCAAAAGACAGCCATGCTCAGACATCCACTTCACCGATTGCTGACAACAAGGGTTTTTTTTTTTGATAGAAGCAATTGCAGCCTCCAAATTCACCAAGCAGAGATGAAAAAAATCTTATTTAAATAAGGAGGAAAACAACTGAGTACTGTTTTGGGAAAGCCGCAAAACATTTACATAATCTATTTTATCTATCACTGTTTTGTAAGTAAGAACAGAACAACAATTTCCTTGCAAGAAGTTAGAGAAAGAGTTTAGCTCATTCTCTGAATATTAAATATGAATTCCTTTAACTTCAGACATCTGATATCCAAAAAAACTATGGAAAAAGCAGTTTGCAAGAGCAGGTAATAAAATCATGAACTTACAATTCCATTAACATCATGTATAAAGCAATTATTTCCTACGTATCTAATTTTGCATGCAACTAACGTGTTCAGAAGAAACTCCAGCCACAATTTATTATTATGAGCTTTAGATGAGGAGTTTTGAAGTAAACTCCCAAGGATGTTCATTTATAAAACTGATGCCCATCACTGTGTCAGGTTGGAATAAGGACACTGCCTAATATCTGTAACAGAGCTCATCTGTCAGGACTAGACATTGTCCCTTCCATTAGCTGTAGTCAGCATAACTCACAAAATAGCATATGTCTTGTACACATTCCCTTCACACACAAAGAAGCACTTATCACACAGAGCTGATGCAAGCACAACAATAACACACTAATTGTTCCCATGCTTGAGCCTTGAAATGATAAAAGGGACCAACTACAAACTCCTTACGGTATCTTCAGGGAAGAGTGGGTTCAGCTACTGGCAGGTGACAAGCATTTGAGGAAGTCTGTCTTCATTTGCACTACCTCAAGGCAGATCACACAGTCAAGGAGTAAAACAGAAGGATTATTTTTTAATTTTTGCCCTAGGATAAATAGGAATGGGGGAAGAAGAAGATAAAAGGTTTATGGGAAGTCACGGAGACTTGCAATCTGCTGTTCGAATTCAATACTTTTGCTTTGAAACAAACTTATGATTAGAAAAATTTGACTTATTTAGTTCAGCCCTACAATGCAGATACAATGCAGTATCGCCCCTACTAATTTCACAAATCCAGACTCTGATTAGATAGCAGTAAGTAGCAACAGATCTTTCCTTTACAGACAAGTGGTGGTAAAGGAAGACAAGCCGTTTATGCTGCTCAGCATCAAACCCCCTTCCTCTGTTGAAGATTTTCCTATCCACAGCAGCAAGGTCAAGGACAACCTTTAAAACTGTAGGTAAGGAAAAAGGGAAGTGGAAAAGGCAGTCTCTGTTCATACCACAAACTCCTAGGAATCTCTCAGTGCTGTCTTCTCCACCTTTCACATCTACAATAAAGATATTTCCCCCATCGCATGGCCAGCTCTTCCCTACAACAGCTACTTCTGGTAATTGTAGAAAGGACTACTCAGAAACATAAAAAACAAAGTGGTAAGACAGGATATGCTGCATTTAATATGAAGATGATCACATAGATAGTTAATAGATCAGTTTTCCTCCCTGCCACATTACTGGATGCCAGTACTGAAGCAGCTCAGATGCTGGAAAAAAAACATGCAATGCCTCTCCATTACACTGAAGTCATTCACATGCTTCTTGCAATTGCCATTTATTTTAAGGTTATTTTTTACTTTGTAGACCACACACTTCCCATCAACCACTGTTACAAAAGCAACACTGGAAGCCAAGTGTAACACATGAACAATTGTTTGGCCATTCTGCAAAAGACTATGCACAGTTATAAGTTTGCAGTGCAGAATACTGCAAATTGTGTTGGTGCCATGGAAGGCTTGTCTTTCACACTAAGCAGAGACCACAGAGATCCACAGAGAAAATATTAACAAGGAGTCCTACCAAAAGACAATATAAAAAAAAGAGGATAGATGCACAGTATTACCTCCCATCTCTCTTTCAAGTGGTGGATCATCATCTGCCATAGAGAAGTCCAGAGATGCTCCAGCTATTTCTAGCATATCTTCATCACTAGTGCTGCTTTGGAAACTCCCTCGTCGATAGCCTTTCTGATCCATGGCCAGAGCTTCCAAACCTGGGAGCAAATGGAAAGGCTTAAGAGTAGAAATGTTTTTAGAGTAGAAATGTGAAGACATTTCAGAAACAAATTGGGCAAGTGTCCACTGGACAGTCTGTCCCAAAAAAAACAGGAGGCAGCATTGCTCTTCTGCTCTTCCCATCAGAAGGGAAGACATGCAGCAGTATTAGGACACCTGTGGTCTTGAAAGGTAACACGTTTAGAAAACTTTACACACCCATTTGCATACTCCCAATACCAAAGCATGGCAGCCCTTGTGCTGGGACCACGCTTGCCTCCCAGACAGCCTGTGCAAGCACACCAACTCTCCAGCTTTGAAGGATGGCAGCACACATGACAGACCCAACACACAGGAGGAAAGGATCCAAAACAGAGCCACAGTGACTTTTTTTTTCCTCTATTTCACTTTCCACAGTACCCTTGTATTTACTGTTAAACTGATGTGCAAAATCCCCACCAGAGGACAGAACCTCACCAACACAGCTGTGTGACACTGCACAGACATGCCAAGCTCACTTGCCTCCTGCAGTCACTTCTCCATCCTTTTTTGAGGTGTACACGAATTATCAAAACAACCCAAGAGAATAATGATTTTTAGTTACCTGAACACAAAACTTCAAAATTCCATTCACTGATGAAAGCATGCTACTAAACTGCATAAATATTCTTAATCAAGTGTCCCTAACCCACTGCCTGACCTGTCCATCTTGAGGAGATGCTGGCAGTAGGATATGACACAAAACCTGTCTTCTGCCCAGAGAAGTGTGGGTGCCCCATACCTGGAAGTGCTTAAGACCAGGCTGGATAGGGCCCTGGGCAGCCTGACCTGGTGTGTGATTTAGTCGGGCTGGAACCCTTCCCAGAGAAGGGGAATGAAGCTAAATGACCTTCCAGGTCCCTTCCAAAACAAGACATTCTGTGATTCTGCAACTCCTAGGATGGCAGGGAAACTGTGAGAGCACAAGAAGATCTAAACATTTAATAATAGCATAAGTTGGGAGAAAAAAAATATAATCAGGACTCAGCCTCAAAAATAGCCCATGGAACACAAAAATGAAAGCTCTGCATCCCAATGAAATAATAGGCCATGTTCATTTTTCTCTTGTATACATACGAGAGAATTAGAGAGGAACCAAATATGCAGCTCAGCCTTATTTCAGGAAGGGAAAGAGGCAGCATGTGCAAACAGTCTGAATTACACAGTCTGCAAAAAGCACTTCCTATTAACAAAAAAGCACCACTCCAAAAAAAACGTTGGCATTGCACAGTAAAGTGACACACTGAGCTCTTTACTGAGCCTTACACTGTAGAAAATAGGGTTGCTTAACTTTTAAGTCCTGTTTACTCACTAAACTGGTGCAGAACACACCAGTAAAGAAAGTGCTGAGCACTTGCTGCTGGGAACTTGTTGTCCAGGAAGGCACATGAGCTGCTGGACTCTGCTCTGCCAGAACCAATGCTTTTAACACATTCCAAAAGCACAAAGGCAAAGCAGGTTAAACCTCAATCAGTGTGCACACAAAACTAATGGTGCTTTTTTTTTTTTTTTTTTGAGCTCATAGCTATTATTTGCCAGCTAACAATAAAATCAGGTTTCACTGAAGTGCTGTGCTGTCCCTCAGCTAATCTGCTCCCAGGAAGCACAGCTGCCTGCAGCAGAGGGGGCAGGGCCAGCAAGACTCATCCCAGCAGAGAGCTAAGAAATTGTGCTTGTGCATCACAGGGCTAACACACACCAGAACAGTCTAATAGGTATCTTCCAGTAAGACTGCATGTAAGCTTACGTGTGAACAGAGGGTTAAAAGAGATCTGTATTCATATATTCCCTCTGCACTGAAAGCATGAATTCCCAGCCCTACTAAAGCGGACAAGAGGCACACAGCTGCCAGCACACCCTGCCTGTTCCAAAGGGAGGAAACTGGAGCAGCGTCAGCTCCTGGTCTCTCCTCTTTATCCCTAGCTTTGCTCTCACACAACAAAACCAAAAAGCAAACCACTCTCCAGTGCTGGCAGATACTAGGTAAACATCTAGCATCTATACAGCTGGAAAAGGACACAGAAGATAACTCAATGACCCACTTCTTTCACAAGTCCTAAATCAGTCTTGAGAGATACAGCTTTAAACCACTTTGTTTTTTTTTTAACAATAATATCCCTTCTATGAGCAAGCAATACTTTGCCATCTAAATCACACACAAAAACACAGCACCTGTTCTCATGCTTATCTCATGATTAATGTATCACAATACTTAGACAGCTGCTGCTTCTTTCCTATCAGACCACGCAGCAGGGTGCTGGCATGGTTTGCACACTCTCTAGGACTCTTCCCATGGCAATCATACATACCAAAGGGCTGCAGGTGCTCCCAGCGCTCCAGTGGGTACCAAGCCATCCTTCTGGAGATGCTGCCGTTAACCTCTTCTACTTTTTATCAGCCTGGCATTTTTTTCCATCTCAATAAGGCAAAGGGAAGCAATGAAACAGAACCCGAAGAAGCCAGCCCTGTGATGCCTGGACGTGACTCAGTGACAGCAATCAGGAAGCCCAGAGTACCCCATTGCCATCCTGGTTGAAAAAACCCGCCCCTAGTCTCTGTTACGATGTTGGCTCCGTCGCTTGCAACACTTAAATCAGCACCAGATATTGCAGGCTTTTCTCCCCATTTCATGCTTTGACACCATCTCCTGTATCCTGCAGACAGGTTCTCCTCCTTGTCAGACCCCGTCTTGGTGCGCTCTCAGCTCTGAAACTATTTCCCCTTCCTTTCCCACACACACCAGCGCAGAGATACAGAAGGGCTGCTAAGCTAAGCAGGGGGCCTGGAGCAGCTCTTCAGGAATGCAAACCTGAGGCTTTCGAAATTGGAACATGCTAAAAGTTTCCAAAACACTATTTCCTCCTCATCTGATACAAGGCTTGGCTCCAGCTCCACCACCAGCACAAAGACATTATGCTCTTTAAAAAGAGCATGGAGTAATTCTGATCAGCTGTTTCCGTGAGTCATTCTTCCTGTGGGGAAGGAGCAAGTTTACCACCTAGCGGCTACTTTAATTTGAGAAACCAAGGGCCAGACCACAAGGCTACTTTTTTTCAGAAATTAGCAAATCAAAGTCGAGCTTTAAAGTTCACTGCAATTCTTCTTCCCCTGTCCCACTTTGGTGTTTCATCCTGAGCCCCGTGTTCTCACCACAGCATCCCTCTGCACAACAAGACCCACAACTAAAAAACCACAGCAGAGGGCAAAAGGAGTCAGCAGCTTCAGAGCAGAGGAGCCTACACCATAAGAAGAACATCAATGCATTGGTCGACTCAGTAAATTGTTCTGGACTTTGTCATATCACAGTCCATGAAATGTAAACCTGGGAAACCCAGGTTGCCACGTGCAGGCTGGAAGTTACAGGAGGAAGCAAGCGCAGCTTGCATGGAGCACTGCTGGGTCACCCCCAGAGACCAGGGCAGCACCAACCCAACCCTCCACTGGGATGAAGCTGTGGCACACACACTGACTGCGTGCTTTTCAGACAGAGGAAAGGGGTGGGTATTCTCTTTTTTTCCAATTTTAACAAAAGATCAAAAGAAAACTTTTGATCTTAACAAACTAATTGTAATTTCTTCTTTAAAAACTAAACATCAAAAGAGCACGCATACAGAAGACCTCCATGTGTGCCGCCCACCCAGCTACCTGGGGTCCAGCTGCTAAGGAAAGACGATGCCAGATGAGAGCTGCAGCACAACAGACTGCTGCTGTAACACAGCCTCAGAAGTTCATAGGAAGATTTGAACTAAGCAGCTCTGTGACCTGCTGCAGCAGCAACGCAAATATTGTACAGAAGGGGCACAGAAGTGTCACATGCACCCCAATAAAACAGCAGAACATTTATGTTACAGCAGGGTGCTGCTATAGCAGGCTGCACCCTGTGAAACTCTCCAGCTCCCAGAAGATATCAGAAGGATTTTACCACCACAATATAAAGCACAAACATCACAAACACAAGGGGAATTTTTCCTGGCAGAAGCAGCACCCCTTGAGTTTTAAAACGTTTGCCCTCATCTTAAAGCAAATGTTCAGTTCCAATATCAGTGCAACTTGTGGAAAGCACAAACTCTGGCGAATATTATTTTGTTGCTTTCTAAAAAAAAAAAAAACCATGACAATTTCTCTAAGTCATTCCTCCAATTCTTTGTGCTGTTTGAAGTGACTGTTATCAGTTCCCCTTCTGTAGACCTGAAGCGACCAGTTGGTGAGCTGATGACTGACAGGAGTTTTAAAGCCATGCTCTATATCCCTCCAGGTACAGTATATGGCACAGAAAGATCTTCAGGATCTTCAGGGATAAATGAAATGCTATTTCAGTACATAAAACATTTTATTAGCAATGCCACGGTTTCACAAGCAGCACATAAATCATTTAACAGAAGGGTTTAACAGCTCAGTGAAGATTATCAACATGCCTTTCGTCGTCGTAAAAGCAAGCATATGGTTATAAAATTATTTATTTACCTATATTGACTTCTCGCTGTCCCGCTGCCTGCTTCTAATCTGAAGAGCAGACAAGTGCTTCTCTCTTGAGCATTTGCCCACCTTTCTTCAAGTGGGGTGAACGAAGGGCTCTGGGGCTGTTCTGGGATCCGCAGCTCAAAGCAACACTGCACGCTCTCCACAATCCAGGTCAGTTGCTGCCCTTGCTGCTGTTTGAGCAATAGCAAACAATGGGCAAACTGTTGTACAGTGAAACCAGCCTGAAACAATAGCTTGTTTTAAAGAAACTGGGAAATCGACCAACACAACCCAAACACAGATGCTTAGAGCTGAGTTGATTTTGCATTTATATGTGGTCCTTTTGTTTGTTTTTAAACATACTCACACAAGCCCTAGGGAGATGAGCAGTAAGCCACAACAGGATATTCTATGCTATGATCTGACATTGATAGAGCAAGATAACGTTCATGTCAAGCTTTACCAGGTAATGCTAGATAGAAAGCGACATAGAAATCCTGCCATGTTTCAGGTTTCCCCAGCTCTTTCATAAACTGAGCCAAGACATGCACCATGTTATCAGCATAAATGCCATCCAGGCACGTTTATTTACTGACAAGCACACAGAGACTAACAGCTGATGTCTTTAAGTCTGCATTTGTCTCATCTCTTTTTGAATTATTCATCGTTCCACATAAACCACTCAGCCCACTACAGCGGAAATCTCAACTGCAGGCAAATCTCAAATCCAACTCCCGAGTTACTGTACTTCTTTCCTGAATAAAACTCTTGTTTCTGCAAGTGTTGACAATCATATATGGCTGTCAGGAAAGCTATATTTAAAAGCAAAATGCTTTGACATTTCATTGACTGGATCAAAAATCCCCTGTCACCCAATAATGCAGCTGACAACAACCGAGAGGTTCCAAGCACACATATGAAACCAGAACTCCGATCCAATTCAAGACTGGTGTGAGTCTTCCAAAAGCAATTTGCAAAAAAAAAAAACAAAACAGTTTCATATAAATTCAGCTCAATCCCAGCTCAACTTGGTAACAGTAGTAATACATTATTAGAAACATTTTCTTCACTGCTTCCTCTCAGCTATCTGCTGCATCAATTGGCCTATCCAGGAAACCTCAATTCTCCCTCCCTCTTCCGGCGCACGCTCGAGTTCTTTGAAATATTAATCACACTGGGCACAGTTTTAAGGAATTGTGCTAAAACAATTCCAAGTCACGTTTAAAAGTCAATGATCTTACTGGAATTGCTAGTTATTAGGTTGCTAAACCAAGCCCCATTTTGGACTTGTAGCAAATTCATGTTGAAAACTTCTTAAAAGCGATGCAAGACAGCAGTTGGGCAAGTTTGTGTGCAGAGAAGAGTTCTCCTCAAAACGAAAGTACACAGAAGTGATGAACATAACCACAGGAAGAACTAATGCTGGCCACTGATCTGTAAACAATATTCAGGTTTCCTACAAATGCTGCAGGAAGCAGGTTTCTAAACAGACGCCAGCAGGGCTAAGTTAGCTCCCCACCACACACAGAGACTCTCCTATTTTCAGGGCTTCCCCACCTGCGGGGAATTCAGAAGCAAGAGTTCTACAAGTGTTCACAGGACCAAAGTAGATGATATTTCCAACAGACAGCATGTTCCCGGCACTGGCTTACATCACCTTGAACCACTTATCAAAAGCTGAGAAACAGTTATTCCTAATAATTATTAATAAGTAAACACAGCTCTGAAGCCTCTCACTGATAAAGCTGATAATTTACATTACAACTTGAACATTTTTCTTGATGCTGTCATTATTTCTAAGTATAGTCAACCGTAGAAACTGGGTTCCCCTAACGATAGGGCTGCTATAAGCACCAACAAATGCAAAGAGGTGTGTGAGAGGATGGAAAAAGGACAAGAGGCAAAGGGCACAAACAGGAAGATAGGATGTTCCCTTTGAACACCAGAAAACACTTTTTCATTGAAGGTGACAGAGTACTAGCATAGGCTGCCCAGAGAGGGGGAGAAGACCCCTTCCCAGAGATACACAAGACCTGCCTGAACGAGTTGCTGGGCACCCTGCTCTGGGTGTCACTGCTGGAGCACGGGTTGGGCCCGATGGCCTCCAGAGGGTCCTTCCCACCCCAACCAGTGAAGGGTTCTGTGGAAAGCCACAGATGCTGCTGTACTGGAGAAGCAGAGCAAGGCCTGTCTCACGTGCAGATACCTGTGAAATACTGTGACAAGATGAACACAACTTCACAGACCCCAACTTCACCCAGAACAGACATGCTCTGACCTCAGAGCGTTTGACTTCTTCCTGTTTGAGCAGGTAGAAACACTTATGACAGCTTAAATAGCCTGCCTACTTAGAGATACAGACCACACCTTGAATTTCCCAATAGCTACTCCCATTTCCAGAGCTATGCATGCTGCTTCCAACCCGCTGACACACCTCTGCACTGCAATCCATCCAGCTTCCATGGCAGGAAGTGATTCAAGGCAAAGAACACACTGCAGAGTAAACGTAGGCCCCATACAACTGCCACTCATGTTTCCAAAAGTCATTTTAATTGGCATCTGCCTTGTGATGCTAACTGTAGGCCCATGACAGCTCCTGGGCCTAGGCTCTCTTCCTGTTCAGACACCCATCTTTCCCTAACCAGTTTGGTTTTTATCCTCTTGAGTATTACCCATTTGAGGGTGGCTTCTCTTCCTTGTAGGAGGGCACATAGTGCCCACCGACTCTAAAGGCAATAATGTTTCAGATATCATTATCCAGAAATGGCACCATCAGGGTTAATTTCGTATTTCCCAGCTGTCCAGTCAAAGTACAACACAGGTCAGCATGGGTCCAGATCAAAGCAGCCCGACCGATACATTTGCGGTGATCACAGTACTGTGGGCACAGACAGTGCTTATCTTCAGGAGCTCTTATTTTTGTAGGATGCTTCCCACAGGAAGTGATCTGAATATGTATTTATGAAAAAAAGGTTCCTTAACTGAGCAAATGGAAGAAAAAATGTCTGGTTTCTGAGAAAATAAGTTTCTCATAGTTTTTCCCATCTTTCTGCCCTTCAGCTGAATAAAGTGGGACTTAAATGAGTCTTCCTTACGTGTAAGGACCAGCCTTAGCTCCAACAGTGCTGCCCCAGTCCAGCAACACAGCCTCTACACACATTTCCATGTATTTTTCTTTATAAGCACTTCCAGCTCAATTTTCCAGTCAATGTTTTGACAAAAAGTAGCCTAACCTGAACTGAAAAACAGGCCATCCCTAGGTTAGTAAGCCTTCACAAGCACTCAGATTTCCCTAATTTAGCCTTCCCAAGGCAAATCAGAAGTGTGTGATCAACACATGATCCCCAGCAAGACAGTCAGACTAAGTGCGGGTGTTTTGCATCACAAAGACGGCCTCAGCATTAAGAACAGATCAGATGCAATTTTCATCATGAAAACATCAAAATCTTGGATGAGGCTCTGCGGTTCTTCCTGCCAAAACCTCCAGCGAAGCTGGATCACAAACAAAGCTGTTCCCACAGCCAAGTCCTTTACCATGAGAGCTCTGGGAAGCAGAACAGTCCCAAAGGCTCGTTCTCATTAATGAGGTAGGCTCCTTCCCCCATTCCTTGGCAACTGATTCCAAGCTCAGATTGGCATAGGACTATGTTGAAGTAGCTACAGCCAAAGTCCACTTTAAGGAAAAGCAATGGGGAGTCAAGGGGTGCACAAGGCAATGCTCACGTGTCTGAAGGCTGCAGATGTCCCCCCACCTCTCCCCACAGCAATGAACCTGGGCAGCAGCTCTGGGCTCTGCGCTGCACCCACAGTGCCAAGGCTTGGGGCTCCTCTATGGACCCTTTCAGGTACCAAGGCAGGCACTGAGCTTTAGCCTGCACCAGACTGCTACAGCCACAGCACGCTCACATCACAGCTCACTGCCTTACACTTTCGCTTCT